ATCAATGAGAATGACCCGGAAGTTAGTGCCGCCCAAATCCAGTGCCATATATCTGCCCTTTTCATTGTTGTTGGGAAGATCTCTCACATAAGTTATCAACATTTTAATAGTCGCCGTCTTCTCATCGATGAGCCCTTTTTGAAACTCTGTTTCCAATAAATTCATTACTTTTATCAAACTCTGGTCATTGAGTACTAAACAATCTGTCATTTGCTTTGCTTTTTCTATCAAACTATTATCTACTGACATGTCTGGCATTTTTAGTCAACAATTCTTCACTTCATTTATAATAATTCAAATTTTATTTGTATTGATTCGCTCGTGATTTGGCCGATAATTTTTACAGTTATCTAAACTTTTCAAATGTATCACTCATTTTGCAAACTTCTGTTCATAAAACCAAATCTCGCCTTTAATTGTTACATATTTTTAAATTACTCGGTTTTACAGTTATATAAATTCAGTGAATTGAAAATACAAAGTATTTTAATGTAACCACTTTTTCAATCTGCAAATTAATATTTAAGAAGTTTTGAATCAGTTTTAGTGATTTTTGTGAATTTGTAAAAATATGAAAAATTTTAAACAGTTATTAAAAGAAACGAGAATTGAATCAAACAATAAGAAAATCTATAAGCAATTGATTAATAGGTTTCAGAAAAGGATGGATTTATTAGCCATTGAAATTGAGATTGAGGTAAAAGAACTGATTAGTGATTCAAAGACATTAAATGAGGTCAAGAATTGGATCACAGAAGTCGAGGAATATCTCGAAGAATGTGATACAAAATTCCAAAGCGATAGAAATTGGATTTCAGATGCGTTGGAATCGATCAATAAATTTGATGATTTGAAACACAAAATGAGTTTTGAAGAAAAAAATCAAATCAAATGCATTCGTGAGGCTCTTAACCGAACATATGATACAATTTTGTTGGCTTTCGATAAAATTAATTCATATCGAGATATCATGAATAGACCGCTCAATATAGAGATCCCACTGATTGAGACCCAAAGCTCGTCGGATGAAACAAATGATGTAAATTTGCTATCATTTGAGTCACAATCACAGCAATTAGCGAACCAGTTATCAGGACTCGATCTATATATGGATTCGTGTGTCAATCCAATGGCATCAATGCAAACACACAGTCCATCAGTTGGGCAAAGCTTTCCGCAATCCATACCTCAAACCCCATTATCACAATTTCCACTATTGTAAAGCTTTATTACATTTTCGCTATACTTTAAAAAACTAAACTTAAATTATATTTAAAATTCTTATTAAATTCTTATTGTTTGCTTAAAAATAAAGATTTAATTTTGGATAAACTCTAATATTTTTCATTTTCAATATAATGAAACTTTGTAGTGATTTTAATCACTAATAAATAAATATAAATTGCTAACGTATTATTCACACATATGTAACTTTACAATACTATACCGCATATGAATACAATTTTTATCTATTGCAATATATTCTGTTGATTGTATTCATGAAATCTAAATTGTAAATCAATTAATAATTAATTAAAAACAAAGGTTATAGACAATAAGTTATTGGCTCTAAAGAAACGACGACTTAATAGTAAATTATTAATTTAGTATTGAGTTATTAGTAAAAATATTGCTTAAAGAGTATATTATAAAAATACAGAATAACTAAAAGTATTAATTATATTATATTAATATAATAACAATGTAACCATTAATTATTGTGAAGTCATTGAAACAAACACTTATTGATAGTGAATACTTAAGTTAGCAAAATAAAAACTTATTAACTCGTTGCATACAAAATTTAAAATCGATTTTTAAAAATAACAAAATATTTTTATAATAACTTATTAACTTAATAACTTTAGTTGATAATAACTGAATTAACTTTACGGTACTGTAAAGTGTAGTAACTGTAACTGTTATATAATTTCTAATTTTAAGTTATGATTAATAAAAACAAAGTTATGAAAAATAGGTATATCACTGTCATTTATTAATAACAAATTCGTAGATAAATAGAGCGATTCTTGAAAATATTTATTTTCTTCATGTCATAAAATAAAAACAAATGATTTCAACAAATGATTGAAACTAATTTAGATTTGTATCTGTTTTGTTGGCTTAAAGCCAATCAATTGTCTAAATTGTAATTCATTAAATGTTTTGTCATTTTCTACACATACCAAACGTATAAATAACAAAATTCATTAATTTTCCACATAATTAATAGTGGCATAAGTAATACGAGATGAACAAAATGTTCGCATAATTTACTTTTTATTATGTTTTCATGTTTTACATAGAGTTTTAGAGTTTTTTGCAAAACGATATATAATATTCTGTATAATAAGTTTAGAAAAAGTTTAAATGAATCTAAAAACTAGGTTATGGGTTACGCAAACAAATTACATTATATTTCATATAATAGATGTTAGTCGAAGAGCTGTGCGCTCAGGTGGTGGCCCTCATGTGCGTCCATTGGCGGGGGTGGGGGTCACTGTATTGGGCGACCGCTCGCTCTTCCACTCCAAGAAGAGGAAAGCAGTTCCGGCGCCGTAAGCGAAGAAGTTTAGTAAACCGAACACCTGTTATACAAATCAAACAATAAATCATTACATTTTGTGTGCTTTTTATTTTGTTGATAAAAATCGATCACAATTTATGCTCATTATTATGATCTCGTTTTGGCAGTAACTCTATTAATACCATACTTTCTGCACTTTTTTTTAATTCAATCGCTATTGTGTCGGCGCTTAGCAACTGATGATTGACTAAATGCTTACAAAAAATATTGTATTCATACTAATAGTAATAATAAATTGCAATTTTATGATCAACACTATTGTGTCCTCAAAATAGGATTTTGTAGTTTTTAATCATAATCTAAATGTATTGTAATATTAGCTATTAATGTAAATATTTAATGTGAATTCTGCTTCCCTATAACATTAATTTCTTATAGATTTTAGTCATACTAATCACTCAATTATTCCATTAAAATATTCTGTTTTACCATATATTTTACAGAATTGTGATATTATTAATAATACCCAGAATTTTACTAGTAAAATATTCATTGAACTTTTCTTTTAAAACATAAAACAAAATAATTGATTACAAATGTATTTCTATCTCTTCTTTGTATAAAAACAAAAGAAATTAATAAATTCGTTGAATGACTAGCAATGAAACGCAATGCAAATGAGTGTAAAAACAACATAAATCATCCCTATATTTGTCGTGTAGGGAATATCGAGTGCTATTTTTAATGGCAAATATTTGACAACAGTGTATAAAACAATGTAAGCGTATATTTACTCCGGCGGCGATGTATGTGCCGAAGAAACTGGTCCCTAAGTAACTGCTATAATAGGTCAGTGCGTAACGATAGTCAGCCCTTGCGGTCAATGATAAGTGAATGATTGCTGTAATGAA